ATTGTGGGATTTGCAACGTCGGCAAACCTCGGATGACTCGCAATAGCGTGCGACGTCGTCGAGAAGGCCGGGCCACCAAAAGCGCTCGCGAAGTCAGCCAATCGTTTGATTGACTCCAAAGTGTCCGCTGGCGGGAGCGTCGTGGAACTTGCCAAGAAGCTGCGTGCGCAAGTGTGAATCCCTTGGTACGCAAAGAAGATCCTTCCCCTGCGAGTGGATGAGCAAATATCCCTCCTGGGTCCGACAGTGTGATGGCGCTGGATTTGGAAAGGAACAATTCGCGTACTTGTCGCGAAACTCGGGGTCGGCTTGGTAGCCGCGGATGAAGCTGTCGCGCAAGTCGTCATCAATCTCGAAAGTCGAGTAGACTGCGGTACAATGGTTCGAACGCCGTGAAAGAGCATCCACAAAACGGTTTGACTTTCTCGGAATGTGATCGGGGAAAAAGTCAAATTAGTTAATAAAAGTCATCCAACGGGCGATGGTGTTGTTGACCGTGTCTTGGGTCTTGTAGAAGACCAACAGATTGTTATCCGTTACCCATCAGAATTAACTTTGACACAGAAGAAATGCCTCCACCGCTTTAGCGCGTGTACGAAGGCTAGTAACTCCTCCTTCCGTGCATCGTCGATCGAGTGCACAGCGGGCACTTTCTTTTTAAAATACTTGACAGGGTTCCAATCCACACCATCCTGTTGCTTGAGGACGACACCAATGCCATAGCCGGACGCATTGGTAGTGACGCACGTCGACAAAAGTGGGTCGTAGATGCGCAAGACCTTCGCGGATATCAAAGCGACTTTGAGGGCCAAAAATGAACCACGCGCATTGTCACTGAAGTCGGACGGCCGATCCTTGCATTGAAGCTTGGTCAAGTTGGCCATGATCTTCGAATAGCTTTTGATAATGTTTATAGTAGCCGGCAAGCCCAAAAAACGAACGGATGTCCGTAACGTTCCGCGACTCCGGCCACTCTCGGACGGCTTGAATCTTGTCCGATAACGGATGGATGGCCTTCGGTGTGACGAAACAGCCCAAGTACACTCTTGTCGTACGAATTCTCACTTGTCACGGTTGGCTTTGTCCTTGGCGCGATGAAGCGTTTCCAACACGCGTTGAAGATGCTCGAGATGGTCCTCCAAGGTACGACTATAGACGAGAATGTCGTCTACGTAGACCAGCACAAGCCAGTCCAACATCGCACGAAACTCGTTGGTCATCGCCGTTTGAAAAGCCGTCGGGGCATTAGTGAGGCCAAAAAAAGGCATGACCACCCACTCAAAATGCCCATACTGTGTCTTGAACGCGGATTTGTAGCGATCCTGCAGGCGTAGCGAAATCTGATGATAGTCCGACTTCGTAGATCCTCATTCTTCTTCCTTACGAAGAGAACTGGGGCACCATATGGTGAGCTACTAGGGCGGCTCCAGCCCTTCTCCAATAAATCATCGAGTTGCATGCGGAGAACCGCGAGCTCCTCCTTGCTCATGCGATAAATGCAACCTTTTGGCGTCACGACACCGGCCTCAAGAATGATCTCGTGGGAGATCGGTTGATCCGATACCACACCGGTAGGAGACTCGAATATGTCGGCGAACTCGTCAAGCAACCGCACCACATGGGGGTCCGAGGACAAGTCCGTGGGTGAAGAGTCGGCTACCGCGAAGGTTCGAAGAAAACAGAGTCCGATCTCGCCAGTCCGCTCGTAAGCACAAGTGGCCCGAAATGACTTGGCCGTCACAACTTGGCACCGAATCGAAGGGTGCGGAAGAGGAATAATACACGACACCTCAGCGCCAAGGGCGTCGCTGCCGTCGCGAATGGTAATTGTCTGCCGATGGAAGTTGATCGTGTGATCTGCACTTGCAAGCCAAGGCATTCCCAGAATGATGTCGAAGTCCGTATCGAGAATATCGAATGTTACCGGTTCGCATGCATGAGGTGCAAAATAAACCGCTACGACCTCGATGTAGCGGTCAATGAGTTGTTGCGTCCGACCGTCCACCAACTTGACCGCTGCAGGACGCTTGCCCAACTTGGACGTGGACGTAAACGAGCATTGCGTTGTTGTCGTCGTACCGATGTGTGAAAAATTAGGACTAAGTTAAAGATAACATAATAACTTGCAAAACTCGCGGGCCACCTTGGTAACATACACAAGGATGTCCCCCACCTCAGCTTCCGTCGGCGAAGTTGGTGGTGCATAGAAGGATAAGTATGTGTGGAGATGAGCGCATTGCGGTCCCGGCAAGCGGCCTGTGGTAGGGAGAGGAAGCCATGCGAAATCCTTGAACGTTAGCGGGTCCAAGACCTCTATGTTGAACTCGCGCGCCGAATTCCGTGAAGAACCATTTGAAGACGATAAATTGTCGCCGCTTCTGGACGGAGAAGAAACCTCACGCACATCTTCTGCTTGAGCATGAGTGCCCAACGAAGGAACGAGCTGGGCAGCATAGTCCTCATAAGAATAGAGAATGGGAGGACTTTCAACTTCCGCATGTGCCTCGGAACTAAGGGAGGTCGCCCGCGCAGCAACCAGTTCCGAAGGCGTCGAGAGTGACGTCGCATCACTCTCGGCGATGCTCACTTTCCCAACTGGGTTTTCCCCTTGGCATTTGTGGGACAGGCGACTGTCTCGTGGAGGTCGTTGTTGCACCACAAACAATATTGGAATCTCGTGCGTGTTTTGTATACGCTTTCTGAGAGACCGTAGTGGGTCCAAGGTGCTTGAGCAGCTGCGTCGGGCCGAGGGTTTGAAGAGGTGTTGGTCTTCGATCTGCCGCGTCCTCGTCCTTTAGCCGGGCGGCCACCATCGCGGGCGGCTGCGAACCTGTCTCCCTCAGCAGAAGAGGCAACCTCGCGTGAAGGGTCGGTCAGCATTGCTGCCGCGACCACGACCACTTTCGGTCGATGCTGATCTCTGCTCGGGCCCGCAGAAGGCGAACGACCGAGATTCTTGGCTTCCGTGTTCGTCACTATGATCTGCGCGGCCTTGTCGAAGAGCTCCGGACTTGTGGTGAGGGTCTCCGCGACTTGGTCAAAGCATTTGACAATGCCGGACACAACCTCATGACGAAGTAGTGTTTGATGCCTTTGAAGACCATCAGCAAATCCGGCGTGGATGCCAATCGCTGGTAGTCGACTATCCAATCTCCGCTTGGCAAAGTGTTCTAATGTAACTTCTGCAATTTGTCCATTGCCTGAAGTTCGGGCGGCTCCACTTGGAACCGCTTGTGCCATGATCAGCCCAGCTGATCCTTGTGTGCAGTTCGGAGACTGTGAACCCGTGCGTGGACAGCATATTGTGCAGCCAAGCTTGGCACGCGCCCCCCGATCGGGAGTATAAATACGCGTGTTGGCTGGCATGTCGGGTCTTGTGGATCTCCAGCTTGAGTTCAAACTGACGAAACCACGGAATTGGTTCCATCTTCATTGCGTCGCAGAAGATCGGCTGGCCATCAAACTTCGGGATGCTCTCGTGTGCTGACAGGAACGGCATCTGCGCCGCAAATCTGCTGCTCAAGCTGTTGAGTTGCCGCTTGCTGTTGTTGCACACTTGTTTTGAGAGTCCCGACGTCGATCTCCAAAACGTCCAGGCAATCGGCATAGTTAGAGGAGCCGGCGCCTGTCGCTGAGATGGGTCGTTGTTCCAGCAGCTGTATGCGGCTGGTCAACTGTGCAAATGACTTCTTGTGGTCAATGACCTCGTCGTTGAGGCAGTGGATATCATGTAATGCAGGTGGCCAGGAGGTCCGTGAAGCGGGAGAGCAACAGCGGGATCTTGAGTCCGCTGTTGCTGACTTTGCCGTTTTCTGCCTCTGCCCGCCATTCTGCGGCCAGTGTGAGTAAAGTTCTCTCCACCTTGAATACCTTCTCGTGCCGTTGTCTGTGTTCCTCGTCGGCAGCCTTTGCTGCTGTTTCGTCATGCTGACGGCGTTGTTCCTCCGCAAGCTGACGTTTTTCTCTGCCTCCTCCTCCTTGTTCTTCTCTGCGGCTGTCGCGTCTGCCCTTTGCTTGGCTTCAGCTATTCAGTTCAGCATCCGGGCCATGTAGGCCTCGGCTGTTTCCCCTGCCATCTGCTCCATGGCACTTGTTAGTGAACGTGTGCTCACAGGCATGGGCTGCGGGACTGCTGATGTGGTGCTCTCTGCTGCTGACATGGCACTGTTCGGCTGCTGACGTGGCATGGCTGTCAGTTTACGTGGCACTGCTGATGTGGCCTGCTGACGTGGCTTGCTGATGTGGCCTTCTGACATGGCTTGCTGACATGGCCTGCTGATGTGGCAACTTACCAATTCCGCAGCAGGAAGCACCAGAAGACAGATGGAGAAGAGTAGAGGAGGGGTGCAGCAGCGTAGATGGGGTCGGTGGGAGTGATCGCCCAGATAAGGAGCCACTAATCAAAAATGAAAAGTTTGAACTTTGCGTAATTATTAATAATTTCGAGAAAATAAAAAAATATTCGAAATTGCAGCAGGACGATTGAAGGAATAGCCAACGCACGTGAAAAAGTTTGGACCGAGACCAAAACGATGATTCAAGCGGAGATCCTATGCAGATGGCGGAAGATCAAACAATCATGGACAGAAGATGAGGACCAACAAAGAAAGGCGAGGCTAAGCTTCAGCAGAACCTGGCTGTTAAATGGTAAAGTGGCGGACCTAAGAGAAGATCGCATCTGCTGGAAAGAATGGCACAACTCAAGTTCAGGGAGGGGTCACCAGCAACATACATCGGTGGAAGGACAAAACTTACTCTGACCAGAATGATCACAAGAGAGATCGATGGCTGCAGCATCGGAGCGACGGTCCAGAGAGGAATGCMAGGTGTAAGGAGGAAGGACACCAGCAAACTGTAAAGAGAGGCCCAAAGTTCAGCTAAGCTTGGACAGGGGACGAGTGACAACAAACACCTCTTTATGAAGCCTGCAAACGTCTCAATTCTCTCCAGCACAGCACGCCRAACCGACAGCATAATAGCTGAGAGGAGCAGGACTGAGGCCAACCAGAATAGTAAGAGCCAATTAATAAAAGCAGGCTAACTTATGCAGGGGTGAGGGAAGGTATATCCTTCCACAGGGAAGCAATCAATGCCGCCTGCTCGGGCCTCTCAGCCATAATGGGAAGGAGCGTGTGTGAGTATCCAAATGTATTACMTATTGACTTGCCGGGGGAATAGGAACCGGACTGTCGCTCCCCAGAATGGTAGGAGCCTGAACCAGATGGTTCTGACGAACTGTAAAAAAAAAAAAAAAAAAAAAAAATTTCGAATTTCAGACTTGACTAACATGGATTGGTTGAGTTTTCTGCTCTCACCATGACAAGTGTTCAGGGGGCAGAGAGGGTCATTGCCCATGTGACCTTTGATTTGACATCCGAAGCACATGGGTTGGCCTTTGTGGAGATGTACACTGTCTGCACTTGGTGTCCGACTCGGAAGTACCATTTGTCTGGGAGCTCATGGGGGCCATTGGATTTGAGTTCAATGCATGCTATTCTGGAACTTGCACTGGGAGTAAGCAAACCCGGTGCCGATGAGACCAAGCCTGTATTGTATTGCAGCAATCCCATATACGATAGCAGTAGCAGCTGAGTGAGGTAGGGAGGGGTGGGGAGAGTGCTGGTGGAGGATGAACTGGGCAGATGCTCCCCAGAATAGAAAGAGCCAGAACCATCAGCCAGTGTTTCAGTAGGGCAAAAAAAATTCATAGATGCTTCTAAATCATCGTTGTTGTGCCGTTTCTGATTTCTGAAAGTTTTGTGTCATGTCTGTTTCTGCCAAAGGTCAAGGAGATTTCAGCAAGGTTCGATAAAATCGAACCGAAACCCAGGAGCATCTCGTCAATAGCAATGGAGTATTCATGTGAGCCTCGACCAGGATTGAGTGGACGGGCGACGGGCAACTCGGGTGCATCAAAATGGAACGGTGCAGGCGTGATGTCAGCTGAGGTACCGGGTCCAGGCCAAAGCCCAAAGCCGAAGCACAGTGAGTTTCAGCTCATATCCGCTGGTAAAATGGGTATTCCCTAAACTTGATGGTGATCTTCGTGGCATTGACCTTAAACAGAGTGCTTTGGATGACCTTAGGCAGCCAATTATTGCCTGCATAAAGTTAGTGACTTTTTTTTTCTCTTATCTTTTGAAGTATTGCTTTCTCCTTGTCTGGCTTCTTCTTCATTTTGCAAAACGCCACTCCCTTGTTTGGCTGGTCAGACTGTGCGAATAATATGAGCATCACAGCTCTACTATGAGGAGGCACTCTCTGATTGGAGGATATCAGCTCGGTGGTTGTGTGTTTGATTCATAGCATACTTGCAAGTGCACGCCATGCGGGAAGTTGTGCATGTTCGGCGCTCAAGCGCACCAGATCCATGCGGCGAATGACAGAAATAGGCACCCAGGAAAACGAGGGTCGCAGGCCTGGATCAGTGGTCACCTGCACCCCCTTAGAAATTTGTTGTAGGGTGAAAAAAAAAAGAAAGAAAGGTTGGGAGAATAATGTCGTCAACTAACGGTCAAGACTGATGTCCCGGAGACCTAATTGAGGCTATTTCTCATGCCCAATGTGACAAAAAGAAAAATTTGTGAACAGGATCTGTTCCTTAGTTAGCACACTCTTGCGTATCTACAAAAACAGCAAAAAAAGCGAAAAAACAAAGAAATTGTTGCTGGTGTGGCGCAAGGGCAGGTGCTGCACAGAGCAGAGTGACCACACTGCACGGGTGTTAGCTAGAGCATAGTGACAACAGTCACGCGGCTCATATGCTAGAAAGCACGAGAAAGTTGGGGGTAGGGGGAATAGAGAGAAGGATTGCATAGCATCTCTACACTATAGAAATTGCTAATCCCGCAGTATGTAACGAATCGCCGATCTGGGCCGTCGTCGGTCCTACCGGCCCATGGCCCAGATCTGCGGAAAGATGTTACAAATCTAGGATCTGGGCCGTCAGTCTGGTAGGACCCAACGGCCTGGATCTCCACGAGGTCTTAAGATCTTAAGACCGCGCCGAGATCCAGGCCATTGGGTGCTACCGGACCGAAGGCCCACATCTTAGCGCCGTAGAGTGCCGCGCGTTTTTACTGTTTCAACAGGCCGTTTCAGTCCGCGACAGTGCTGTGGGTGCTCCAGGCTGTCGCGAAGCGTCCGTGCGAAGCGCCTGGGCCAACTTTCGCCGATGTCGCGTGCAGTCTTACTTCGCCCCTCTAGCGCGTACGTCATGTCGTGAAGCACCCTGCGCCGTTTCGTGGAGCCCTGAGCTCTCTCTCTTCTCCCTCTCTGCCTACGGTTTACCGGGCAGTTCTATTTGACGATATATACTACGACTTCGCTAGCTTCCTGCTACGGTTTTCTCCGGTC